GCAAAATTACTCTAAATTCAGAATTTTTATTCATGAACTTTTATATTTTCACAAAAATTACTAAACAGTATAGGCCAAGTACTTGTGAGCTAAAGATGCTACTATTACCTACTTCTTGCTTCTGCAAAGTTTGCTCAAACCTTAATACCCACTTTACAGACTATTATCTGTATTCTCGTCACTTCAAACTTCAAATTCAGATGGTCTGGAAGGGCTGTGACCTGCCCTGGTTCCATGGTTGGGTCCTTTTCCTCCAGTCTCTTCTAGCGGCCTGGTTGGTGGAGTGCTTTGCCAAACACTTCAGTTCCGTTTGGTTCTCATTACTTCTGGATGGTAATCCTTTATGTAGTATTGTTAAAGATCTTTGCTACCTCTCTGCTCAGGACTTGCCAAGTGGACTTCCGTATCTTATCAATCTGCTGAATTTATTTGGTAGTTTCACTCGGGTTTTGTATAACTCATACATTACACTAAATGTTCTACTACCTCTCAGTACAAGCTGATGTGACCCTATTACAGGTTCTAAAACTCAATAAGATACAGTCTTCCTAATACATTTTGTAAATTCAAATTTGTTGCCAGTAGGATTTGAACTCTTGTCCTGCCGCTTGGAGATGCGACAACTTACCAACTCACTAAGTTGCCACACCCATATTTTTGCAATCTTTTATTTAATAAGAGTATTAAAAAGATTCAAATAATAAAATTCAATGAAATAAGCTTAATGAAATAGATAATTTTATGGATGCTAATTATATTGATGTTTATGAGGCTGATAATTTAAATTTTAATAATTCTGCCTTAATGTTTTCTACACCAATTACTAATGAAACTAGTCAGACTACTAGCATAACTGTAAGCGAATCTACAAGCCAAATTATCAGCGAAACTATAAACAAAAATATCGATAGAGCTACTAATAGAAGTGCTGATAAAACTACCAACCAAACTACTAATGAAAGTGCTATATCTTCAAAGCATAAGTCTATCATTTAGAAACATTTTTCTTATTAACAAGTATGCAAAAAGCTAAATGCAAATATTGCAATAAGTTACTTAGTCATAAAAAGGGATGTGGTATATCTTATCTTTGATGTCACCTTGGTACTTGTTTAGAATTTCAAACTTTATCAAATAGCAAACCACATATAATATTTTTTTAGTTTTCAACCAAAGAAAGGGCCATATACCAAAGATTCAATTCGGAAAGACTTAACTAATATGATAGTTTGGGATGAATTAAGTTTTTAGTTTGTAGAAGGCTGTGGTTTTCATAAACTATTCTAGATTATTGTCTAATTTCAGTATTAGTGCTGATACAATTAGAGATAGGATCGGCTTGAGCTGGCTTAAATAAGCTTGGCTCAAGCTGGCTCAAGTATAGTTGCTGGATCAACCCTAGCTGCCGCAACAACATATTCTCAATTTTAATTGGCTAATAGCAACGATCAAAAAATTTAACCAGAATTACTAAAAAATTTTACTAATGAAATCACAGTCGCCCATTAAGTAACAATTGTTTCTGCAGACCTATTTTTTGAAAGTTTTTATTTTTGGAACGAAAAAGTTAAAAAGTTAATTCTGGTCAGAAATTAGTAAATAATTATATAATGTGAACCAAAATTTTACTGATCAACGGCTAAAATCGAGGATCTGCTGTAAAAATTTTATTGCGGCAGCTATAGTTGGTGGATATTATGGCATTACGGCATTATGTTATTGCATCATTACGGCATTGCAGCACAAAAGAATTACAGCAAAAAATATAGCACATGCCGTTGCCATATTAATTTACAAAATTAATTCTACCAACAACTATAAGCGAGACTAGCTGTTGAGGAAGTGGTGATAGTGAAAGACTTGTAATTAGGGAGGCTAGTGTCTGGGAAGAGATTGTTGGGGCTAAATTTTAAATGAATAACAAATTTCTACAATTATCAAAAAATACCACAATAAAATCTTTTAATAATTTTTTTAGTAGTATTATGTATTATCATCAAATATATTTGATTTGATAAAGTTGCTTAACTCTTATTTGAATAGTTAAAAATTATATTGTAAATTTTATTATTTCACAGTATTAATTATAATTTATCTATCTTTAGATTTAATGCAAATAAATTATTTTTATTAGCTAATTAATATGAGCAAAATTATGAATTAAAATAGCTATTTTGAATTAAATAGCAAAATTACTCTAAATTCAGAATTTTTATTCATGAACTTTTATATTTTCACAAAAATTACTAAACAGTATAGGCCACAGTACACAGGTACAGTACAATCTATAGTTAAAATTTGTAAAATACCTGGAGTCCTATAATAAATAATTTTTTACATCAAAATTTTATATTCTACAAATAGTTCATTAACATTATTATTACTAACAATATTTTCTGATACTTTATTTAGTCAATATTCGAACTTCAAAAATTGAAAAATCTAATTTACAGTATATGTAGTCTCATAAGAACATCAATTATACATGTTAGAGAAAATATCGTTCTCTTACCCCTTTCTTCAAAATAAAACTGGCAGTAAAGATTTTGTACAATATGTATAATTAAATATTGCAAAAACCTAATTTTAATACATAAGAATTTTATTTTTCAGATTAAAAAAAATGCTTTATTATATTAACAGGTTATTAAGTTTTGTGCAGAGGTTTTGATTATAATATTTTTTTTATTATAAAAAGCAAATGTGAGCAAAGAGGGTTTGACAGCATTAGATAAAAAGGGCTTTGATTAAAGTTGAAGTTTATTATATACAGGAGGCTTTGACAAGTGTTAAAGAAAATTACGTACAGAGGGCTTTGATTAATGTTAAAAAGAATTATGCGTAGGGGATTTTAAAAAGAATTATATGCAGGGGCTTTGATTAGTATTAAAAAGAATTATATACAGATGACTTTGGTTAGAATTAAGAAAAATCCTGCCAATACTAAGACTAAACCAAAACAGAGTTAAAACCTAACACAAAATATAAAGAACCTTCTAAGAGGCTTAAAGATATTGATCCATCATCATTATAATATTAATATGACAGTTATTAATCAAGGGGTATCCAAAAGCCCAAGGGTCATACTCTAGTTCTACTCTTGTTGTTAGAGCTTAGCACTTTAAGCTCTTATCTATATCTAAGGATTTAAAATTTGATACATGGGCTCAGCTCTTATAAGCTTACCCATTGGTACCACAGGTAGCCTGGGCCCATGCAAAGGTTTAGCATGACTTAATTTATTTGAATCAGAGGTTAATTTTATGAAAAATTAAATAGAGATATTGTAATGCAGGTGCTCAAAAACAAGTGAGATGTATATTTTAATTTTAATCATCAAAGTTAATTAGCAAGTTAGCTGCGAAATGAATATAGTATATGCTAAAGTCTAAAATATATAAATTTAAAGTTATAATATATATATTCATCCTTATAATGTATATAATTGTCTATTATTTAAAACATATATGCACAAAGTGCATATATTGTTAATTAAAGTATAAAAGTTTTTTTAATATGACGTCACCTCTTCTGCATATACTATTTTAAATCCTTCGATACTTCAATTGATATCTATTAAAGCAACCCCAAATTTTAGATTGATAATTGATATTACAGCAGTAGTATATAATTATTTGCTACAAATGGAGTTAATTATGACAATAGCGAGTGTAATTACTATATGCTGTGACAGTATATTTATCATCAACCCAACTTTGTGAGCCACTCTGTAATGGAGAAATGCAGTATACAGTACACTATATTAGGGAATAATGTTGAAAACTTAAAAAATTCGAAGGCATTTTGTTGACTTAGTGATGATTGATCAGACAGTAATAATTGTAGCAGATTATAATAAAATCAGATTATAATGAAATTTAACTTATTTTATGTACAATTTTTAAAAATTTTGGAACCTTTTTAGTTAGGTTTTTTTATAGTTAAGTTAGGGTTAGAATTATTAAAAAAAGAGTATAGGTGGATTTTGATATCCCTAAATTTCACAATGATCTGATTTCATTATGATCTGTAACAATAATTAATTAATAATATGCAAATTGATTACAAATGTCTGTCAAAGTATAATAATGCATAAAATATGTAGTAATAGATTATTAGTAAATAAAATATGATTAGTAATAAAAGTAAAAGAAAAAGAATCAATAAGTGCTTTTGTCATAAATACCCAATCGATTATATTAATAAAAACTTACCCTATATAACCCTTTGCGGCTCTGTTTCTTTGTGTTTGTTTTACCTTTTAAGATAGACATAGTAGCAAAGGCTACTATTACCCCCTCAACACTAGTGAATTTTCATTTGTTTACAATTCTACTCAATATAATAAAAAAAGTAGATACTAATTCATGCTTGATAATAATATCTAAATTATCATTTAAATAAATTATTTAGAATTTTTAAGCTTTAGTAATGTTAGTATTCAATTGATCAATTCCTTATAATCATACTATCTTTGTTTGTAATCAAGTTAATAAACTTGTCAGAGAGGTGACCTGAAGTTTTAATTAGTTACAGAGAAATTAAGACTGCCAAAAAACAATTAAAAATATTTTTAGAATCATCGTTGCTATGCTTTGTTAATTTCTTTTGTTAATAATTAGAACAATTGTTAAATTAGAACCTGTAGTTTTATATAATAAGTAAAACAGCTTTTATCGTTAACTAGACTTACCTTTTATATCAATAAATTATTATTTAAAGATAGTTATTATTTATTAAATAGTAATTGTTTTTAATATTATAAAAATGTGAAATATAAAAATACCTATATTTTTTATTTTAAATTTTAAAATACCTCGTTTAACTAAAGTTCAAAAAAAGTATAAAAATGCGAGTTTTGCAAAAATATCCAAGTTTAATAAACTATCAACTGCAGTTGCTGTTAAAAATAAACCTATTTCACAACAGGTTTCTACTTTTCAATTAATCCCAATTGAAAGTAATTAATTTAATCTATCAGAAATTGAAAATTCAATTAATTGACAATACATTTCAACTTCTCAATTAACAGCTTCACAAATTAAACAAATAAGAAAGGATTTAATTACAAAAGTTAATTACTTATCTAAAAAAGAGCTAATAGCTGGTTCTCAGTTATTTATTAATATGGTGTATAAAACTGAAATATATAAAGGTAGAATTTTATCATTTTACCTACAAAAAAAAGCTGTAGAATTAATATATACAAATAAAGGAAAATCTAGCTTCAATTTTTAAGAAACAATTAAATCACTAAAGGTTAAAAACTTGAAGTTAAAAAAAAATACAAAGTCCAAATTATAAAGTAGCATCTTTAACACAGATGCTTCAATATTTTAAATGATCTAAAAATAAGTATATATCCAAAATTAGAGCTGTAGTTCGAAAAAAACAAAAAATTTCTGATAAAAATGTTAATAAAGCAATTATCAAGAAATTTAAACAAAATAATCATACCTATATATCTGAATTTGTTTCATTAGCTACGAATTTAAATACTACTGGTCAGGTATTAATAGCATCAACAGTATAATGTACAAAAAAAATAGTAGCATTTCTTACTGATCATTCTCCTCAATTATGGTTATCTGTAAGCACTTTATCTAGATGAACAAAAAAAAGTAGTGCAAATTTCTATACAGGATAATTTATCTCAATTTTCTAGCCAATTTAGTTCATATGGTATTCTAGCAGATAAAAGTACAAAAAGAGAAAAAAAACTATTTTTAGTATGTATTTCTTATTGAAATGAAAAAAAACAAGAACCTATACTTACTATTCTTAATATAAAAGACTTGGATCAGTGTTCAGCATTAACAGTATCTTCAAGTGTTAAAGAAGCTATTATTAAAAACTCATTAA